AGGGGACGGGAGGGGCTGCTCCCTGGGTGTACAGGTTGCAGATAAATTCTAGCTCTGGGGTTGGGTGGTAGGTTCACAAATGTTCACTGTATTATTAAAGAAATATGAAAGGGCCATGCCTAGATCAATGATGACAAGTGTGTCATGAATCAAGGATCATGATCTACACCTAAGGTTAAGATAAAATTTAAAAAATCCCAGCCCTCCACATTGTCTGTGAGTCCGGTCTACCGCGGTGTGGCTCCTGCAGTCTCATCGCCTCCCCTGGCTCCCAGCATTCCAGCCATCCTCGCCTCCTTGGTTTTATCCGAACACACCCACTGTCATCCCGCTAGGGTCGTTTGTACCTGTGCTGCCCCTCCTGGACCCATTAGCACCTCGGCCCACTTCCGGCAGGTGCCTACTCACAGAGGGCTCCCCTGACCCCCAACCCCACTCCCACGGCACCTCTCTCTCTCCCCAGCCCCTGCCCTGCTTCCTTCCCCCTTAGCCTTCTCCTCTGCCATCATATCATGCAACAACTAGCTGGTGTCCTGTCCATTTCCCATTCCACAACACAGCCTCCACGAGTGCATGGACCTCAGTCAATGCTGAGCAGCATCCACAACCATGCTTTTCTCTCCTGGTGCTCAGAGTATTTACTGAGGGAATGAATAAATGCTTTAGGAACCTAGCTCATGAAACAGCCTGACACCAGAGCTGGGACTTATCAAACAGACTGGCCTTCGCTGGAACTTCAAGGGTGCAAAGGGTTGTAATACTGGTTCTCAAAACGTGCTGCACAGGTTACCTGAGGCTTCGGTGGGGCACCTGTGAGACGTGACTCTTGGGCCCTATCCTGGAGCCACAGAATCGGAATCTCTGTGTTGTCTGCCTGGGATGTGCATTCCCCACACACTAGACTGGTGATTCTTGGGTCTACTATAGTTTGAGAACCATGGAACCCAGTGAAAAAACTGAAGCCCAGAACAGTTAAGCTGTTCAACAGTCTTTCCCACTGCGAGAGCTTTTGATGGGGCAAAATGAGATAATGTGTCTGAATGGTTGAAAAAAGATGTGTCATTCAAAAGCAAGGCATGAATATGTTAAAGAAATTAGAGGTTAGTTAAAATGTATATTTAGAAAGATTGATAAATGAGTTTTCTCTCTTATAAATCATATAACATAAAGATTATAAAGTATCAAGGTCTATTTCAAACATCATGGTTGAGGCTTCATCTTTTTCTTCTTGTCTACGTTCGTATACCTAGTGAATCAGTCAAAAATTGTAGATTAATATTTTAAATGCCAAAAGAAGCCAGCTGCTTGTTCTAGTCTCTGACTCAGTTAAGCTCTTACAATATTTTGACTGAAGAAAATTAATAATGGGATGTTAGGTGGTAGATTAACTGAAACTAAATATCAACATAGCTAGATTTATTTTTGGATGGCTGAGCTCATCCCTTCAAAGAACGGAAACAGGATTTATTATATCATGAGTTATTAACTTACACAACACCAAAACGGCCCCCTCCACCCCCCAACAGAGCAGAGAGCCAGCCACAGTGTATTTAAAGATTATGTAAGAGGCTGAAACTTTATATTTCCTATCAGCTAGGACTTGGTGTTTACAAGATACAGCTAATTACCTAAGGCTCACAAAGATGCCAGAAGTTAAGGCGAAAACTGTTCTGACAGCTCTGGAATCAGACTAGTACCAATGCTGACTGCCTCTTCCCTGAACAGCGGGTCCCACTGCAGCCAACACGGACAAACTGATACCTATGGGAGAGAAAGATGATTTTATCTGTCATTCGCGTACTTATGCAGCAAACACTCCCTGAGCACCTACTGGTCCTCCCTTCCCTCCTCTAGCTCCCCCTCCCACGCATGCACTATCTGGGGGTCCGCACATGTGAAAGGGATACGTGTATATGCTTCAAGTCAAACGCAGTGCCCAGGCCGGAAGCTGGGCACTCCTAATGGTTCTGATGGGTTCTGAAGCCCTGATGCCTCCAGCCAACAAAGAAAGGTTGGTTTTGCTTTTGATGAGCCAAGCTGGCCCCAATCCCCTAGAAAAGTACCAAATTACAGCCTCCCTTTTCCCCTTCTACACTGATGTTAGACTGTGGCTCCCAGTTACAGATCTTTGTACATCTGAGGCACTCTGCTGCTGCTTCCCGGCTTGGTGGCGGTGGGGGTGGGGGTCAGAACGGATCACCGCACCTGCCTTTTGTTCACAGAACGCTCTGGAGTTCGGTGACTTTACGTCGTTTTACTACGTATGTGCACAAAGATATCCCCCCACCCCAAGCCGATACTCATAAACCCAAACTGGAAGAGCTCTATAACAAGTCAGCAGAACGCGCTGATCGCAGATAATCATGCTGCACAGATTAACTGGAGCCGTTTCTGGGCCCCCAGAGTGTCCCCAAAGGACCGTCATCCTGCTCTGGATGCCCCTGGAGCTATCCTGGTTTTTGTCCCTACTGGCAGATCAGCTCTACCTTCCAGTCTGTGAGCATCCAGCATCATTAGAAAGCAAAACAAAGACAAAAACCAAACCCTTTTCTTGCTTAAGTTAATCAGAGCAGGTTTCTGTTGACTGCACTCAAGGAAGCCTGGCTGACTCAGGAGGAGATGTCATTTTATTAAAAAGCACAGGTGCAATCTGCGCCTTGGTCAAGGCACATAAAAGGAGATGTCAGCAGAGACTGCTCGTGTGTGTCCTGCTTCACCAGCCTCAACGGTCTGTTCTGGTCAGTCTCGCTCATCTCCCGAAACTTTCCAGAATACACTGTACTCCAGATGTATACAATCCATTCCAGACTCATCTCCAGAAAACAACACTTCCAACTCTTGCCTACACCTCCCGCGGGGTGCCCTCACTGCCTACGGTGCAGGTCCCAAACATTCTCCACTGAGGTCACAGGGAGCAGCTGTCGAGCAAGGGCAGTAGGGGAGGTGCTGGTCCTGCTCCTCTGCCGGGTGAGCATTCCCTTCAGCCTCAGAGAAGGTGTCTGGGTGGCAGCAGCAAATGGGCCAGAGGTCTGCAACCTAATAAAATGCCATCTTGTGAAAGTAAAAGCCAAATCAAGCAGTTTTGTTAAAAGTATGATTACCCACCCAGCAATCTGATTCTGAATCAGATCTCCCACTGCTATTCCTATAAATATGCACCACCTTATGTGAATTCCTGTGTCACCTAAGGAAGGTAACAGCTAGCTGGCTAGACGCATATAGTGTTCTGAATTAGCCACGCATGGGCGTAAAAATGCATATATAAAATGGGGTTCTTTCCCTGAATTAAGCCCCTAAACTCCCTCATCGGTCTGTTAAAACAGCAGCTCCATGGGAAAGCAGACAGGGCTGACAGGTCATCGTGAAATAAAAGCCCGCTTTCTCAGGTGGAAGTAACTCTAATATCTTAGACCTGTTTACCTATGATCCTGTTCCCTCTGCTCATTCCCTTCAATGCCAAATCCCTACCTCCATCATGAAATGGAAGCTCAATGACCCAGAAATAATTTGAACAAACCTATTTCACTGAGGATGCTCTCATTTTTATCTTCATTAACTCCTTGGTTCCTGTCAAGTATGCTGAAAGCAGGATTTATGTTTTAGCTGCTGGGCCTGGAGGATCTTAACATTTAGACAATTTCTACATTTAACTGAGGCAAAAGATAGTGCATGTTTTGTAGACAGATACAAATTGTTTTCTTTTTCTATTAAAAGAACACTGTATTAACTCATTCACTGTACTTTTTAACTGAAAGAATTTAAAGTAGCACGATACCCAATGTGCACTAATTTTTTCTCAAAAAAGAAATAGCACCCATTTAATAAGCCCACATCTCTTCCTTTCTTAAGAGAAAACTACAGACGTGCACACAGCAAGCCCGTTCTCCTCAGGTGAACAGCTGGAGGGAATCGTAGCTCATCCTGGGTGACTGGCCCTTTATAAGATTCTGCAAAAGTAAAACGCTAAAGTATAGGGAGTTCACAAGAGGCCCCAAAGCAGCAACAGCTGACAAGACACAAAAAACACTCAATCCTGAAGCTCACCTCCCTGATGCCCATGAAGAACCATCACTCTTGATTCGATTAATTCTGCTTTTTGTAAAATGTGGTGGGTCCTCAAAATTTGTGTTCAGAGAAGTATTCTTCAAGCACACATTATCACAGAGTGCTAGAAAAGCTTCACATCCCTGAGGTCTCTATGCCTTTCTAATTACTAATAAAACTTAGCATTTCTATTCCACTATATTTCCCAATCACACCTGTCTTTGGTGAATTCATGCAAATGCAAACATCAGCGGTGTGGATGTGAGGCCAACGTGCTCAGAGCAACTCAAAACCAGAAACAACAAAATTGGAAATCATCAGCGATAAAGTCTCAGAACACTTTCTTCAAATACATGATGGATTTTATAAGTGATTTTCCACAGAAACTGGTTCTATTTTTTTTTTTTTTTAGATTTTATTTCTTTATTTAGGGGGGGCACGAGTGAGCAGGGGAGGGGCAGAGGGAGAGAGAGAATCTCAAGCAGACTCTGTGCTGAGTGTGGAACCCGACACGGGGCTCCATCTCATGACCCATGAGATCATGACCTGAGCCGAAATCAAGAGTTGGATGCTCAACCGACTAAACCACCCAGGCACCCTGAACCTGGTTCTATTTTAAGATGGTGTTTTTCTTAGCAGGATCCAATAGTTGGGTATTTCTTTGAGACAATATAAAAGATTCACCAAAACATCCTGAACTGACTTACAGGTGGAATGGTTTTACAGTATATTTCCTCTCTAGGTCATTCTTAAATGGGCTCTGCAATTTCGTTCAAAAGCCAAGTTTCAATGTGCAGAATTTTGAAACTACAGGATACCAGTGAAAAGAAATATGCTATTCACCATCAAACCGGGATTTAGTCTCCATTCTTTAGATCCTATGACACAGAGCCAGAGACAATCTTGAGGCTAGTCTTCTTCCACATGGCCCTACAGACAGGTCAAGCAGAACTTACCAGAAGCATTGCTGATGTGCCATTGGGCCGGGATAAGTGGATGGACATTTCAGGAAACATCCTGTCAATGCGGCTGATCACATCATCAACATATCTAAGTGGGAAAAAGAAATGCACACATATGAACTGGAACCTTAGTCAAAGAAACACAAATCTACAGTGTACTAAAGACTTCTCTCTTCAGCTGTTTATCAATGCAATATAGTCAAGAAGGCAAATGGGATTCATGTCTTTTTACAAAAAATATTACTCCCGGGTGCCTGGGTGGCTCAGTCGTTAAGCGTCTGCCTTCGGCTCAGGTCATGATCCCGGGGTCCTGGGATCAAGTCCCACATCCGGCTCCCTGCTCAGCGGGAAGCCTGCTTCTCCCTCTCCCACTCCCCCTGCTTGTGTTCCTGCTCTCACTGTCTCTCTCTGTCAAATAAATAAATAAAATCTTTAAAAAAAAAAAAATACTACTCCCTCGTTCCTCCTTTTGCCTCTCAGGGCCAACCAGTTTTTAGGCTTTCTTCTGGTATTTACCTCCATATTTCCACATGATATGTTTTTAATGCTAGTTCTTGCTTTTTCATTTCATTTTTTAAAGCTTTTATTTAAATTCTGGTTAGTTAACATACAGTGTAATATCACTTTCAGTTGTACAATATAGTGATTCAACAATTCTGTACAACATCCAGTGCTCCTCACAACAAGAACATTCCTGAATTCCCATCACTTATTTTACCCATCCCCCCACCCATCTCCCCTCTGGTGACCATCAGTGTATTCTCTATAGTTAGCAGTCTTTTTTTTTTTGGTTTGTTCTCCTCTCTTCCCACCCCCTCTTTGCTCATTTGTTTTATTTCTTAAATTCCACATTTAAGTGAAATCATATGGTATTTGTCTTTCTCTGGCTCACTTCACTTGGCATAATACTCTCTAGCTTCATTCATGTAGTTGCAAATGGCAAGATTTCATTCTTTTTTACATCTGAATAATATTCCTGTGTGTGTGTGCATACGTGCATTTTTTCCTTTATCCATTCTTTATCTGTTCATCAACTGATGGATACTTGGGCTGCTTCCATAAATTTGGCTATTGTAAATAATGCTGCTACAAACATTGGGGTGCATGTATTCCTTTGAATTAGTATTTTTATATTCTTTGGGTAAATACTTAGTAGTGAGATTACTGGATTGTAGGACAGTTCTATTTTTAACTTTCTGAGGGACCTCCATACTGTTTTCCAGAGTTGCTGCACCAGTTTACATTCCCACCAACAGTGCAAGAGGGTTCCCCTTTCTCCACATCCTCGCCAACACCTGTTGTTTCCTGTGTTATTGATTTTGGCCATTCTGACAGATGTGAGATGATATCTCATTGTAGTTTTGATTTGTATTTCCCTGATGATCAGTGATGTTGAGCATCTTTTTATATGTCTGTTGGCGATCTGTATGTCTTCTTTGGAAAAATGTCTATTAATGTCTTCTGCCCATTTTTAAATTGGATTATTCCTTTTCTGGGTGTTGAGTTTATAAGTTCTTTATATATTTTGGTTACTCACCCTTTAGTGGATGTCATTTGCAAATATCTTCTTCCATTCCACAGGTTACCTTTTAGTTTTGTTGACTATTTCTTTTGGTTGTGCAGAAGCTTTTTATTTTGATGTAGTCCCAGTAGTTTATTTTTGCTTTGGTCTCCCTTGCTTCAGGAGACCTATCTAGAAAAAAGACAGCTGATGTCAAAGAAATTACTGTCTATGCTTTCTTCGAGGACTTTTATGGTTTCAGGTCTCACATTTAGGTCTTTAATACATTTTGAATTTACTTTTGTGTATGGTGAGGAGAATGGTCCCCGTTTCATTCTTTTGCATGTCGCTGTCCAGTTTTCCCAACACCATTCGTTGAAGAGACAGTCTTTTCCTCATTGGATATTCTTTCCTGCTTTGTCGACGATTAATTCACCATTATAATTGTGGGTTCATTTCTGAATTTTCTATTCTGTTTCATTGATCTTCGTGTCTATTTTTGTGCCAGTACCATACTGTTCTGATTACTGTGGCTTTGGAATAGAACCTGAAGTCTGGAATTGTGATGCCTCCAGCTTTGCTCTTCTTTTTCAAGATTGCTTTGGCTTTTGGGGGTCTTTTGTGGTTCCATATACATTTTAGAACTGTTTGTTCTAGTTCAGTGAAAAATGCTGTTGGTGTTTTGATAGGGATTGCATTAAATGTGTAGATTGCTTAGGGTAGTATAGATGTTTTAACAATATTTGTTCTTCTAATCCATGAACATGGAATGTCTTTCCACTTCTTGGTGTCATCTTCAACTTCTTTCATCAGTGTTTTATATTTTATAGCTTTCAGAGTACATAGGCTTTCCCCTCTTCGGCTAGCTTTATTCCTAGGTATCTTACTGTTTTTGGTGCAACTGTAAATGGGACTGATGCCTTCATTTCTTTTTCTGCTGCTCCATTCCTGGTATATTGAAATACAACAGATTTCTATACATTGATTTTGTATCCTGCAACTTTATTGAATTTGTGTATCAGTTCTAGCAGTTTTCTGGTGGAGTCTTTCAGGTTTTCTATATATAGTATCATGTCATCTGCAAATAGTGAAAGTTTTACTTCTTCCTTACTGATTTGGGTACCTTTTCTTTTTGTTGTCTTATTGCTGTGGCTAGGATGCTTTTTCATTTTAAGCATGACTTAGTGACTTTCTTCTATAGGAGATCAGAATTTAGCTGCCACCATCTTGGCCACTGGGCTCCGATACAGAGGCTCCTCCCTCTGCCTTTCTGGTCTCGGGACAGCAACAGCTTCCTGTTGCTGCTCATCTCTGGTAGCCTCGCTGTCTTCTGTTTGGCTTCTCACCTCAATCACCTACATAACCAATTCCCTGGATTAAATTCTCTTGGTTTTAAATACCTGAATTCCTATTTTCCTGGCTGGACTCTAATTCAAGTAATATCATAATTTTTGCTTAAGTCAGTATTTGGTGTGTACATTCTAAAATCTCTGCATATATATTTAAAAAAAAATTTTTTTTTGAGAGAGAGAAAGAATCCTGAGCAGGCTCCAAGCCCAGCATGAAGCTGAACGCAGAGTTTGATTGTATGACCCTGAGATCATGACCCGAGCTGAAATCAAGAGTTGGACACTCAAGTGACTGTGCCCCTTTAAGTAGCGGAGCCACACAGGAGCTCATGAGTACATACATTTATTTGCACAACTTTCTGTTTTGCCTTGATTTTCACTTGGTTAGTTTTCTATGTGCCTACTACAATGTTATCCCTGAACTCTCTACCCGACTCTAAAACTTCTCTCACTACAGTCAGACATACCAGGCAATCTGTCAGTTCCGTTTTTTCCTGGACACATTCCTCCAAAAGAGATTCTTCTCTTTTTCTGGCCCAAATGGAACTTAACTCTCTTAAGGTTTAATAATCACCGACACATTAAATACTTAGCATGGTGTCTGGCACATACTAAGGACCGGAAAATTACAAATACTCTCACGGGGTCATCAGGGGCCTGCTCTGCAGAAATGCCCTCTCTTAGCAGGATGAATTCTCCCCACCAGTGGAGGCTCACTGTGATGATGCCAATCTACAGCACCAACAGAGCTGGGTCTGGCTCACATCCTTTGAGAATAAAATCATACCAGCATTTGTGCTTACCACCCAATCACACTGGGGATGTATACTACAATAGCTGAGATGCAAAACTATCTATTAAGGGTTTTGTATTGGATTTCATATCCACTGGATATGATAAATTAAATTACATATCCATTAGATCAGGGACATATAAAAGCTATGTTCTCTTGGGGGAAGAGGGAGAGTAACTCTCTACTCACAGCATGAAGATTTCAGTTCAAAACCAGGGGCTCACAAGAGATAGCAGACAACACAATGCCATTTGTTAAAAAGTGAACACCAATGTGTCAGTCATGAAAGTCAGGGAATAATCGTACTGATGAACCGGTCAGGTTTTCCTTAGAGAATGTCCTGTACAGTTTCAGACTTGGAGCTGAAGGGAGGGAAAACCACAGGGGGCCCAGTCGTAAGTAATAAGGACAGTAAGCAGACTGGAGCAGCGGTGTGTGAAAAAAGGGGGTGTGGAAGGCCACTTGCTCCTGGGAAAGGGGGTTGACGGGAGACTGACCTCTTTCAAGGGTGTGAGCGGCTTTTAGGAATTCAGTACCAAACAGCTCTCTCCCACCTCTAGAAAGGACTGTAAGATAAGGGCAAGGCCTTAAAAAGTGAACTAGCTCAGAAAGAATGAGAAGTATTTCTTAAAAGCAAGGCCCAAATGCTGTTGATTTTTTTTTTAAGATTTTATTTTTTTAAGTAATCTCTATGTAGACCCAATGTGGGGCTCAAACTCACAACCCCAAGATCAAGAGTCATGTGCTGCACTGACTGAGCCAGCCAGGTGCTCCCCCAAAACCATTCTGTTGATCTTTTTAAAAAAAGATTTTATTTATTTATTTATTTATGAGAGAGAGAGAATGCATGTGCACGAACCGGGGGAGAAGCAGAGGGAGAGGGACAAGCAGGCTCTACACTCAGCATAGACCCCAACATGGGGCTCAATCCCACCACCCTGAGATCATGACCTGAGCCGAAATCAAGAGTCAGACGCTTAACCAACTGAGCCAGCCAGGCATCCCCTCCCATTCTGTTGCTTTTTAAAATGGCTGAGGAAACAACCTTTCCTGGATGGTAAGGAACAGACCAAGACATCGCACGTCATCTCGCACAGTCCCCTTCTAGATTTATAGATTCATGATACAACCTTGGCTTTAGGCGTAAATGCTACAAACGGGTAAAAAGATGAAGGAAGGAGGAAGCAAACTCATGTTTCATCACTGCCTGATGTTTTTTGAAATGGTGGAAGACACATGGCAAACTTCATGTCAAAAGTATACAGCAAGTCACTGGAAAGATTTCTGCATTTACATACTTATTTTCTAAATCTGTGTGTATGGTTGAAAGCCAGTTACTTCAGACTCAGCATGAAGCAAAAATCCACTGTCCTGTGTGATTGGAGGTCACTGCTAAGTATATGCTAATGAGGAGGGGGTGGGCAATGTCTTCGGAACCAATCCTC